TATAAGTGAAGGTAAATAACCATCAACATACTTGCGTAGAGATTGTAAATCTTCCAGTATTCTGGCAGAGTGAGAGTTATTTCTAAAATTTGTTGGTTCACATTCTTTGGATGTCAAAACTTGCTTTAGATTATTTTCACAAGATGAAGCCTGAATGGTATCCATTTCATTTACTGACATAGAACAGCTTTGAACATATTTTACAAATTGTGATTAATTTTAATATCATCATTGTGTTAAAACTTAATACTAAATTTGGGTACTTTAGACAGGGTACAAACCATGGTTGGTAATATATGCATATAAAACATTTAATACTTGGCACACATATAATACCCTACATATTAATTGTATAAAATGACTAAAACATATTATACAATTTTATAGCGACTAAGATATAATAATAATAATAATAATAATTGTTTATTCAATAAAACGGGCAAATTATAACAAATATTAACTATTAAGTAAATATTGTTTTCTTTGAAATTTATACTTAGTATAATAGTGATAATACTGTAGATATTTTAAATTTTAATAAGTATAAACTTAAAAAAGTAATATAAAGAATTTACGAATCACATCAACTTGGTGAATTATACGTGATAATTGCGGTTCAGTGCACCCATAAAAAAAATGTTTACAGTAGAAAATATATACAAATAAGTACTTCAATACTGCACGTATAATACGTGATTTATACTTTACTGTTAAAATGTTTTATATCTCAATCCTAGTAAAACCCAACAAAATAATGATGTTAAGTAATTATTAACTTATTAAAGTTAGATTTATTAAATATAAACAGGTAATTGTTGAAATAAATAATATATAATTAATAATGTTCATTGTTCATAGATACTAGATAAAAAATTGTGTGTATAATACCGAGAGTGCCATTTTGGTGAATTTCTGAAATGTTTGCAGATCCTTATAAAATAATTAGCAGGTTACAACAACTACCTACTTTATTTAGTTTATTTCTGACTAGTTATGCAGTTATTTACACATTTTCTGTCACCTCAAAGAATTTATTTAAATAAAAATAAAAAAATTGACACAATGGGTTACTTGATTGTAGTTATCCTAATGATTCTATATTAGATTCATTATACATATTGGCTTCTTCGTTATAGTTTTAGTAGAGTAATATTGTTTTTCAATACATATGACTACAATATTGTAGCCATATATATTGTATATGGCTTTCCCAAAAAATCTACACCAACTGCATGGATCATTTATTTTTAACTTCACATCATGATCACAATATTATTATTCAATCATAGGTACACAAAATTAAGAATATTTATATATTTATTGTTATTAAAATGTTATTGAATTAAAATAAGTATATAAAAATATGCACTTATTCTCTTATTATTGCAGTTGAATTCAAATCAGTGCAGTAATCAACAATACTGAACGACTGGAGTTCTAGACAAAGGTATTTTATTAAAATATTTTAAATATGGGCTTAAATACAATTTACCTAATTGATATTGGTGGGGACAACCGGATTAAGATGAAGTCAGAAGTTGTGAGGTAAGAATGTAAGATGGTAATTGTAGGTAGGTAAGTTGTAATCAGTTGATTATATCCATAAAGGTCCCCACACACTGCAGCGGTGGCGGTGAATTGCTGTAGGACACATTTCACCGCTCACCGCGGCAGTGAAGCCAAGACAATAGAATTTAACGCCACCGCCACCGCTGCAGTGTGTGGGGACCTTAAAGACTAGAGATAAGGAGGCCAACTCTAACACAAAAAACGTTCCATAACACATAGCATACTAATTTCTCTACCAGTCTGCGTGGCGGTCAAATCCGTGGCTGGCTGGAAGTATAATTAACTCGTATTAGATAGGGACATACTTGACTTTATTTCCTTTAAAAAATAAAGATAAAAAAACTAAAAATTGTATTTAAATTATAATTACACCAATACACCATTGTATTCATCGCAAATTTGTCTTTAAGAATAAATTAGAAAAACAATACTTATTAATGTTCTATATCTAAGTAATAAATGTACATAATAAAATAGTAAAAATAGGTAGGTAAACTGTTGTTTACATAATTATTATTATTATTTACTACATGTACCTACCTACGTGTAATTTTCTTCAAACCAATAATTAATAACCATACCAACAACTTTTTTGATCCTCATACAGGTGCTCAAACACAAACAATTGAGTGTTTATGAAGACATGTAAGAGTAAACTGTAATACAAGGTCTTGTGGAGTAAAAAACCTACTCGAAAGGCAATTTATTGGAGGAAGAATGACGGCGTTCACTGATCAGCCGGATGGTCTAATGTCTTTCGAAAGTATTTTAAGACATAAGAGACACATTTGTATAATAATATAGAATAAAATCCTTTACTTAGAAAATATACGATTCAATCAGTGGTTTTTTGTAGATAGCATACGCCGGTACATACGACACGTGAACATAAATTTCTAACTAGAAAGTTATTTGCAAATTTTCGTGATTTTGAAGTATTTTGTCCAATTCTTACTTTGTCGCGTGTCCGTGTGGTGCACAATATGACGGCAGTTGTGCCTGTGTAGGAGCAGCGATTCTCGGCGCTGAGTGAATGCCGATTCGGCGAGTGACGACAGCTGAAGAGCGATCAGCGAACACGAGTCACTACTAAAGGAAATTTACGTGTGTCGGATGGTGTCACAACTCGCAGTGTACAGTAATAACAAATGATAACACAATAATAATATTATTATTACTAAAAAAAATATAACAATATATCCGTACAATTAGCCATTAGGTACAAAATTATTAATCAACCTAAACGGGTGAGAAAACGTGTATACAGTTGTACCTACTACCTATACAGCATGATGAAATAGCATGATTATTTCATCATGGGTTTATGTTCGCAACACGCAACTCGCGCGCACGCACTCACAATCACTCACAAATTCTCAATGCGCAAGTACCAAACGGCGAACGATGGTCATCGGAAAATAATAATTTTCGAAGAACGCCAGAAATCCCCACTTATGTTTATAAATAAATTAGTAATTACAGTGTATTAATTAAAATATTGAGTATAATCACAGTATAATACGCGTTTTCTTTCCGTAAATCATATTATTCATTTTATACCAATTGATAATATATTCCTGTTTTTTATTTTATCATTCAAATTTTCAATAACAACTATTGTCTATTACTGTACATCACGATTAAAGATATATCTTTAATCGTGCTGTACATCGCACGCCGTTAAACTCGACAAAGCAGTAGGATCACACGATTCACACGCACAAACTGGCACCGCTTTTTGTTTCGTCGTCGTCAATCGTCATTCGAACTTCGAAGTCGCGTGGTCACTGTTGTCACTTGTCAGTTACTCAATTCGCAGTTCAACTCTGTCGACTGTCACTTGTCAGTTGTCGATTGCCGTATACTCGCGTTTCGCACCGCCGTCCGCGGTCCGCCAAATCCTCGATCGACCTATGCTCCTACGCCCTACGCCCTACGCCGACACAGCTACATACCGCGTACCGACCGGAACGCGACTATAGGTAAGAATTTTGACGAAATTTGTCTAAATCATAAACATTTGCAAATTAGGTATATTAAGTTTGCGGGTAGGTACGCGTGTCGTATGCTATATACCGGCGTATGTAATCTACAAAAAATGACTGCTTGAGTCGTACCAATGCAGCTGTCGCCGTATAAAAATGTACTCTATACAAATGTGTCCTGTATGTCTCTTTAGAAACTTACTTTTACATGTCTCCAAAAACAATAAATTGTTTGTGTTTGAGCACCTGTATGGATTTATGAAGTTTGATATGGTTGTGAAGAAAATTGTAGACTGAACCAAATAAAATAACCACTACTTCCTCTCCAATCTGAATTTTGTAATTTTTTTATTGCATTGATAAGTATAGTGCTCAATTCCTGGGTATTTCTGAGCTGCTTTTTAAAATTCCTGCTATACCTGTTTACCCAGAAAGTAGAACTTAAACTGGTATGTAGTCTGGGACAACTTTGACTTTCTAGGAACACAGGTAGAGCAGGAATTATAAAAAGTTGACAACGGGAAGGCGAAATTCATAATATTATTCTTTAGTCAATGCTAGGATATTGTATTCTAGTGTCTAGTGTCTAGTCTTCATGCGTAATGAGTATAACCAACTTTCGTAATATTATAATATTATATTATTATTAAATAAAAACAACAAAATACAATATGCTCAACATACAGTTCATGTGCGTTGGATAAATTTAGATATAACCAACTTATTACGACTTACATACAATTCCCACCTTACCATACCTTTGTCTAGAACTCACTCATTGATATGAATTCAACTGCAGTAAGTAAGAAAAAAGGTCTCGTACCTATTCTATATACTTATTTTAATTCATTAATATTTTAATAAATCTAACCAATAATTTAATAATTTCTTAACATCAGCATTATGTTGTTTTTTATCCTGTCTACACTCTAAAGCACCTAAATTTAGTATTAAGTTTAAACACAATGATGATAATTAAAATTAATCACAATTTTTAAAATATATTTAAATTTGTTAGGCACATCAGTAGCAGAAATGGATACCATTCAGGCTTCATCTTGTGAAAATGACGAAAATAATCTAAAGCAAGTTCTGAAATCAAATGACTGTGAACCAACTAATTTTAGAAATGACTCACACTCTGTAAGAATACTAGAAGACTTACAATCCCAACGCAAGTATGTTAACAATGATTTTACTATCATCCAAAATAAATATGAGTAACATATTTTTGTTTTTAGAAAAGAAGTTTTATGTGATGTTAGATTTGAAACAGATGATGGTAAAATTGTAATTTTACATAAAAATGTTTTAATAGCAGCTAGTCCATATTTCCGTGCAATTTTTAGTAATTTTGATGAGAGCAATAAAGATATTGTTAATATAAGAGAATTAGATTCCACCATTTTACTACTATTAGTAGATTATATCTATACTGGAGAAATTATGGTCACAAAAGAAAATGTGCAGGTACCTATAATTAAATATTTAATTTTATATAGACTTCAAACAACATAATATCGTTTTATGTGAATTTTTTTTTGATTTCTAAGGTGTTATTACTAGCTGCAAATGTATTGCAGTTAGATTATGTAAATAGTGTATGTGCTGAGTTTTTACAAAAACAACTGAATCCATCAAATTGTCTTGGTATAAGAGCGTTTGCTGACTTACATAACTGTACTGATTTGTTGTCAAGTTCTGAAGCATATATTAAACAACATTTTTTGTATTATTAACATTTTTTAATTCTCTATATCAAGAGTAAGTAGGTAATTTATTATAAAAATAATGATTATTATTTCCAGAGAAGTAGCTAAAGGCGAAGATTTTCTATCCTTATCTTCTGATGATTTGGTGAAGCTTATTTCCTCTAATGACCTTGCTGTTCCATTTGAAGAAAAAGTAAGCAAACTACAAATTATATTTTTAATATTATGTATGGAAAATAAACATATAAAGGTGGGCAAGTATACAGTACAGTTGATGTCTAGACTTTACATAGATCACTGTATCAGATGTGTTATATTTGAATTGAATGATATAAAATCATTGTAAACGAAAAGGAATCTGAGCTCTAAAGGTTTAATAATATTACCAAGTTTATTTTATGGTATGTTTGATAAACTAATTTATTTTACTATTAAACATTAGTAATACTGTATTTCTGGAGCAGTTTTAATTATTTTTCCAAAAAAGGTGCATATGAAAAGATCATTGTGTGCATACAATATAACAATATACTTTAAAATTGTAAGTTCCTACAAATAATATTTTTAAACTAAATAACTAAAATCAATAAAGCTTGATTACCTTAGAAAATAATTTTATTGACTGTTATTGAAAATAAACAAAAACATGTCTTATTTTAAATGTCTATAAATATTAAATAACTCTAAAATAGTTTTTTAAAATTAGTTCAAATCAATTGTATATCTTTGATGATAAAGAAGTTTTGTGGTCGGCTCCGACTGTAATTAATTTTCTACAACTTTCACCTCCACGTACCACATTGATTAGTCAGTAGGCCCAAACAATTTCGCAAACGCAGTTCATAAACCCTTCTACTGCATGTCTATATTGTGATTTATGTGTATTAAAAAATAACAAATAATATATTTTATTTAATACCATAAAAATATAAGAATTATTAATTAATATTCCTTTGCAAACAGTAGGAACACAATATGATCTTAAAGATTTATTATATTTTTGGGATCCTGTGATAATTATACACTATTGAATGGTGACAAACTATTATTATATCTTAATCTAGTTTTAAACATTTTTTATTGTAGGTATTTGAATGTGTTATCAAATGGGTAAAACATGATTCAGATCATAGAATAGATTTTTTGCCAAAACTATTGGAACATGTACGTTTGCCATTACTAAAGCCTGATATAATAATTAATATATCTGAAGAACCTCTTCTAAACACTAGTCATAAATGTATGTTATTTTCATAAATATGCCATCATTATGGATTTATACATTTTATGAATTATTATTATAATTGTTTTAGGTAAAGATTATATAATCGAAGCATTATATTTTAATCATCAAAAATCCGTTCAGCATTTCACCATTCCAAAAACAATTAGGTTTAAACCTAGACAGTTTGATGGTTTTCAAAAAGTATGATTCCAAATTGATTAATTTATCTTCACAATAGTTTTGTCAATTTAATTCTATTAGGTTCTTCTAATGTTCAGTAAGTCTTATACATCGCCAAACTGTTATACTGAATGGTATGACCCAGCAACCAAGCTAAGAGAGAATGCACCAGGAATAAATGAATGTCGGAAGTTTGCTGGTTTCGGTGTAATACGTGATCAATTTGTGTTTGCTGTGGGAGGTGTAAATAGATCGATTTCTAAATCTGTTAGTATGCTAGACGTATCTTCACAATCACCCTCATGGGTTCCAATGGCCGACATTTTAGTTAGTAGAATATATTTGGGAGTTGGAGTATTAGGTGATTCCATATATGCTGTAAGTTAAACCAATATTTTACTTATTTTATATTAAAAATGTATATTATTTGTAATTCTAGGTTGGTGGAGGATTTATCGGCTATCCATTGAAAAGTGTAGAGGTATTTGATGTCATTACCCAAAAATGGAGAATAGTGTCTAGTATGACAATTGCGAGATGTAAATTGGGCGTTGGTGTACTCAATAATCGTCTATACGCTGTGAATAAATATATCATATTATTATTTATTTATTTATTCTACATTTTATTTAATTAAATTGTATAGGTTGGAGGTTATAATGGTAACGGTTTGAAATCTGTTGAATATTATGATCCCACACTTGATATATGGACTCCGGTTGCAGAAATGTCTGAGTGTCGTTATGGTGTTAGTGTAGGGGTTTTGGATGGTCTTATGTACGCAATTGGTGGCTATAATGGAAAGTTTCTTAAAAGTGTTGAGGTTTATAGACCAAGTGATGGAGTTTGGTCTTCTATAGCTGATATGAATTTATGCCGATTTTGCCCTGGTGAGTAGTGACTATGACAATTATATTTTTTAGGATGACCTTTGTAAAAATATATTGAATTTAAATTACCTTATCTTATAGGAGTAGCCGTATTAGATGGTTTATTGTATGTTTTTGGCGGAGAAACAGGATCTATTGATGATACTTTTGAAATTTACAACCCTAACACCAATACTTGGACCTTGGAAAGATTGTCAAGAAAGGGAGTAGAAATTTATGGTGGAGTAGTTGTCGATAGACCTCATAATTTTCATTAATCAGATTACAGTAGTACTCATTGTTAATAGTAATAAGAACAAATTTTTGTGTAAATTATGATGACGCGTGTATATAGTTTTAAATATTTTTGTTATTTTGAATAGGTACCTATTTGATAAGAATATTTTTTATAATTTATACTACCTATTTTCAAATAAAAAAATTACCTAAGCTATACTTAAATTTTATCTATGATCTAATATTTAAATTATATTTTTTAGTTTCTTTGTGGAACTTTGTAGTGTGTACACATTAAAAATGTACTTGAAATTTGTAGCAAATGATTATTTCATCATTTTATTTACATGATAAAATATTCAAAATATTTCGACTCGTATTAGGAGATTTATAGATGTTTTGATTTTTTTTTTTAGTTGATTTTCTATAAATGTTAATAATAATGTTACTGTTGGGTCAGAAAGCTTAAATACTTAATTCTTTGTTCCTCATACGTTGTTATGGTGACAGTTTAAAAATGTTATTAATGTATGAGCACAATTTTTTATAAGCATTTTACTTCAAATTTTGAAAATACTATGCTGTTAAAAACGTATAAATTGTTCAATTTGTATAGCTAAGGATTGAAAATTAAAAATAAGGTTTCTACTTTCCTGTAAGTAATTTATATTGTGCCTAAAAACTCTAAAAATATATAAACCCAGTTTTTTTTTGTGATAGATATTTTAAGTTCAAATTTCAGGCGATACTTCACAATTATATCGTCGCCTGGCGTGAAAAACCAAGTTTTTCTGGAGAAACGTTTTAGTAGTTTAAAAAATAAGTATTGAATATGAAAATTTCAAAAAATAGTTATATTGTGTAAAATATGTTTAGAAATGAAATGGGACTCTTATTATTATTTTATTGTTTTATCCAAAAGGGATATTTAAGCATATTGTTAAGATTTTTACACATAGGAGGTTTTGATGATAATTCTTTATTCTGAAACTCCACATAGGAGGGTTGTTGTTGACACATAGGAGGTTAATATTTGTGTATATTTTTTTTCTTTACACATGAGAGATTTCATGTCTATATTATTTCAACTATACAAAGTAGTGATGGGCGATTCTCGAAAGTGAATCGATCTTTTGAATCGATCTAGATCGGGAAAAAAAGATCGATCTCTAAATGAATCGTTCGCAAAAGATCGATTTTTCAAAAGATCGATCCAAAAAAATCGGAAATTTTTTAATCACTAAATGCCGCGTGATACCTACTCTAGTTCTCCCTTGTCACGCTCGAGGTCATAACAATTAATATATAAAGGTTTTCGATAGTCCATACCCCATACTCCATACAATTAATGCCAGTGCGACTAGTGCGAGTACCAGGGCCGTATTTAAGGGGGGGCAACGGGGACATTTGCCCTGGGCGGTCAATTTTTGACACATTTAGGAGACGGCCAGGCGCCGGTGTATATTATATAATTAACTTTTTTTTTTTTTTTGGTAAGAATTTGTTTGAGTACCTATACTCGTACTTGTACTTTTTGCATTGCATCCCTATGATAGGCCAATTGCATAGGCTTGCGCAGACTTAAATTTCTGGTCGAGGCTAGACAAATTATAGTTCCCTAATATTTGGACAGCGCCCCTATTTTTTTTTTGTTTTAACACACCAACATACATGTTGATGTATTAACCTATTAATGTCTATAGTACTATAGTTGTTGTATTTGTATAAAGCTAAAATGTTTTTTTTTTAAATTAATAAAATGTATGTAGTGGTTGCAGGGTTAGGTGGGTACACACAAATATTTTTGATTTTTTTATACTTTCACGACAAACAAAATTTTCATGATCTCCACGAAGGCACGAACATACATAATATTATTATAACACATGCATTATAATAATAATATTATATATTCATTTTTTTCTTTTTTTGGGAAGAGAGGGCTACAAATATTTTTAACCCAGGGCGCAAAAAGAGGAAATACGGCCCTGGCGAGTACTCTTGATTTCGGAGCGCGTATACAGTATACACTGGAAAGTGTTGTACCTAGGTCCTTAATAATAATATAAAAATGTTTTAGGTCTGTTGGCATACGCTCATTGTTCTCTTCAGAATTTTCCGAGGCTTTTTTTGACACCAATTCATTATGAAATGACCACAAATTATACGGTAAAGTGCGTACGAGACTGTCACCACTGTAAAAAAATCGAATCAAAAATGAATAATGAATCGATTCACATAAAAGATCGGATATGGGACAACATCCGTTGTCCAACGATTCGATTCGATATTCACAAAATGAATCGATTCACCTAAAAGATCGGATCAACGATTCGATTCGATTTTCACATAAATGAATCGATTCACATAAAAGATCGGACCATAGAGATCGATTCAAAAAATCGATTAATCGCATGAAAAAGATCGATCTTTTAAAAGATCGATTCGAATCGCCCATCACTAATACAAAGTATAAACTAGGTACTGCTAAAATTGTAAAATAATAATGAACCTTTTAATTAATCTAACTACATAGATCTATAATATAATATTATCAGTTATTTTAGCTAATAGTTTAAAATTGTGCTTCATAATATCTAAAAAGAAACATTTAACATACCTACCTCAATATGCATCAATAACTAATAGCATTTTATAAATTATAGAAATATTAGACCAAATTTGACCCTTGCTAAATGTTCTGTAATATCTAATAAAGATACAGGAAACTAACAATATAGTTATGAATAAAAATTGAATACATGGTTATTTAATAGATTTTATAATTAATTAAAATTTTTAATTATAAATAGTAATAATAAGAATAAAAATAAAAATAACAAACTTTTTCTGTTTCTTGAAAAACCACATTATAAAATAAAATAAAAAATAACAGTTAATAACACTACATAGGTACTTTTTGGTTAAAAACTTAAAACTTATAATAATAATGCACAACATTTTCTAAAAATTATTTTTCGATCTACTTCGGTGAACATTCCCCAAAAAAAACCTTTGGATCCTAATTTATTTTTTTTGTGATTATGAGCACAACAATCTTTCAAAAATCTTCCAGGCTTTGGACAAGACTGTGTGCATTTACCATTCTTAACTTTTGAACCCATATAATATATGGGTCTCCTGCAACTCTTTTTATAGAAACCTTTTCCTTATTTGTTCTACCAATTTTTATAGAATTTTCAGACATACATTCACTAAGAACATAACAGCTAGTCCACATTACTATTAATTTCATTTATTGGATCATCTACATTACCATTTTGTTCAGTGTCATCATCAATATTGTCATAAGTATTAGTATTATCAGTAATAATAAAATCATAATTATCAAAATTGTTAAAATTATTTATGGTGGTTATTGGCATAGGATTATCATAATATACATTCAGGTCAACTTCCTTTCCATTTTCATCAACAGAATATTATGATAAGACCAAATTAGCCAATAGGTATTTATAATTTATATAATCAGGTTTCAATATTTTTAGTATTATAAAATTGTATTATAACAATAAGCTTAATTTTGAGGGGTAAACACCTTGGGGGTAATCAGTGTACAAGGTGATGGTAACCATGGGTATAGGTAATCTTTGAAGTAAATCATAGGTATAATCATTGAAATCAGTAATCTGGTGTACAAAACTTCTGTCAGGTATTTACCCCTCGCTTAATTTTAAATTTAATTACACTTATGTTATTGTTGAAGATTCCGATTTTTTTTTCAAAAAAATTCAAAATGAAAAATAATAATATGAAAAGACAAAAGTGATAATAAAGATTATTTTCCCTCCTATTCAACACCAGCTGATATAGCTCCGATGTGCGAAATTCGTACAAATCAACAGTGTGACAAACCTCCGCTGCACGGACTAAGATATACAGGACTGGACACGAGATGAATATTGTGGTTACGAAATGTTTTACAACAGGCGGAGTTCGGGGGGATATTTTCCTTTTAGCATTACTAGCGCCGTCTTAGTGGATACTTATGGAACTAGAAATTTGTATGATGTGTTCTAGTTCCATAAGTATCCACTAGGATGGCGCTAGTAATGCTAAAAGGAAAATATCCCCCCGAACACTGCCTGTTGTAAAACATTTCGTAGTCAACCCCCCCACACCCTCCAACCTTGTCGTGTCCAGTCCTGTATATCTTAGTCCGTGCTCCGCTGTATGCACATGGGAGGTATATCAGATAACAATTTCAATACAGCTAACATCGGAGATTCATTGTTTTGAAGAATAAAAATGTCTTGATAACACCAATAAGTTTGAAATATTTATCACTAGATAGCGTATTTTTTTCTGAATTCAGAAATGTAAAAATGTCATTTTGCGATTTTTTGCACATAGGAGGTTTTTCACGCCAGGCGACGATATAAAGAGTCACTATTTTAGTTGTTATGTTGTAATTTGAAAAAAAAATTATTCATGAATGGGCAATTGATATTTCAAAGTATATTATTATATTTTTTACCCTTCATTGACATTTTCAAATGCAATTTTTTCCATTTAGGCTGATGTACCTTAAATAATGCTTCAATTTAATCTAATTGATTCATGACCAGGGGCGGACAGGGCCGGCGGATTACCAGGAACTTTCCTGGTAAGTTGCCGTTCAAAATAATTTGTTATTATATATTAATAATAAAATTCGGTATAAATATAAATTATAAAAATTTTGTATTTTCGTAATATAACGCTTGAGTGTTCATTTTTGTTAAATTGATTATTTTAGGTTTTTCAGATTTTAAATTTTGGTTCAGCTGATTGTCCTCCACCTCCCCCTTCGGCATCAATGCATCATCAAAAATTATTATTACGAGTACCTAGGGCGCGGATTTAAATATAAATTGTATTTTTTTCTGAATTTCTTAAAGCATTGCTTTTCTAGCAAAACAATTTGTTGGTGTATGAAACTACAAACTTTTTATTAATAATTTTTTGGTCCTTTGTAGGACATTTTTATGGTTAGAAGGTATTTTTCGTAAATTGTATAAGGATAAATAAATTAGTATGAAACCCTCATTTGTTAAAACTTTGGTACCATATATACATTTTTACATTTTGTGATGACAAAATGGAATGGGCTGGACAAAATACAGATTTCACGGGCTGAACAGTCGCCCCAGTCCACCTCTGCTTCTGACTTCTGTGTGGTAAATTTATAAAATTCGCAATAAATTTGGGTTGGAAAAAACAAAAAAAAAAAAACTCAAGAAGACTATACCCTGCATGCGTTGTCTCTGTCTTACAAACGCATAATGTAGGAAATTATATGTTCTGAATAATCTATAATTAAATATATTTAACCTAAGTAGGTACCTATGTTTAATGTAAGAGCGACTTGACCTATTATCATTGGCATTTGGCGCAAATGAAAATTGTGCTAAGGGTGCTTGGCACCCTGAATTTTAATGCTAGGTAGCACCTCGAATCTTGTTATTATCTTAAATAATAATTAAAAATCATGATCACGCTCCACTATCATGATTCAAGATAGACTATTGGACACGTCATGAATTTATCAACATGGAAAGAAATACCTATGGGTAGTTAGTAAAATACTTATGATAGTCCTTAATAAATGTCCACTGTATTACATGTTTCTATTATAACTACCTACAGAGTTACAGTGAAACTTTCATATGACGAACTATTTCAATTTTCAATTAACAAAATGTTTGAATTAATTTTTTTTAGAACCAATTTTTTTTTTATTTTACGAAATTCTGTACAGATTTTTTATGCCCGTGAAACCATGAGACCTAATAATAATTAGGTACTAGTATGAAAGTTTTACTGTACATATTATTATATTTTAACATAAGAAAAAAAAACATTATTTAATTTCCATAAATCGTTATAATTATGGCTGTGAGTTTAATACAGTGAAAGACCTTAAACGATGCATTTAAACTCTAACACTTTAAAATGCACTAAACATATACCTATTCTGAAAATTAATTAAAAATATAAAACTTATTTAAATTTATCAAGCAGTATTAAAAGGATGTCACACCCACTGTGTTGTCCTCGTCTTACAAATGTACAACATTGCAAAAACTGTTTTGCGCGGGACGACTTTTATCTTTCTGTGTTTGTAGTAGTGGCTCAAAAATTTCTCAACATATAGGATGGAAAATTATCTATGCAACAGCTTGCCCATATTTTAGTTAACACAAATACAATAAAAGTTATTGGCTCCTAAACATTTGGTTTTTTTCTTTTGCTTGATAAAAATGATTGGATAGTGCTATTTAAAAAAAGCACCAAGTTTCACAGATAAAGTTCTTCTTTACGTGTTGTGAATATTTTTTTAGATCTACAACAAATATGGTGCGAGAAAAGTGGTCCCGTGCAAAATAGTTTTAAAAGCGCCGTGGAAAAAAAAATAAAAATTAAGGAAAAACGGGAATTTTTAAGCAAAATAGTTTTTTGACAAAATTAATTTTGGTTTTCGGTGTAGGTAACTCTAAAACAAATAACTGCAGTTACATGCAATTTTCTCTGAATGTTTTATATTAGAATTTTTTATAGGTACCGTACACTATAAAATGTTCAAAACAATTTGACTTGTTCTGAATTGTTTACCTACGGACATTTTCAGTTTCCAATTTTTAAGTTTTGTTTTCTTTAAATGTCAATAACATTTTAAAGCTTGAACATTTAATATTATATATTGTTACAATATCAGTTGAAAAATATTAAAAATACAGTCACAATTATTTCTTAGAAGCATTTAAAGTTCAAATGTTGTTAAAATAGCGATTTTCTTATTTTGTTGTAATTTAAACACGAATCACCTGTAGATACTTGAAATTTACACCAAATAACATCTTATCAATTCCCATACTTGATAAAATGTACAAAATATTTAGACCCGTTTTGAACATTTTAAATTTTAAATTTTAGATTCTGAGTGAAACGATGAATGTATTGATTTTACAATGATGTGTGTTTTTTTATTTTTTTTTTTATTTTTTTTTTTATTTTTTATTTTTTTTTTATTTTTTTTTTATTTTTTTATTTTTTTTTGTGTCTGTCATCACGTTTTAGGACAGTAAAAGTGCTTGGATTTTCTTCATCAGTAGCTTTTCTGATAGGAAAGTGAATCTAGTTGGTACTT